AGCTATGGATCTTGGGTCCATGAAATGGGGTATCATCCTACTCAGTCACAACCACAGAACACAACTGGGAAGAGTTTACACAAATATTAAGGTTGTAACTCTTATTGCAGGACTTTGACACCGCTGTAAAATAAAACTACTGTGAAATTAGCCACATTAGCTCACCAGTCAACAGGCTGAATAGTGAGGTGATTTCCCACAGTCAAAGTCCTGCAATAACAGCTACGACGCTAATGTTTGTGTGAACTTTTCACAGTTTTGTTCTGTGGCTGTCACAGAGTAGGCTGATACCCCATATCATGGACCCAAGATCCATAGGTAAGGCTGTACATTGTAATATCAATCTCCAATACCAAATAGACTGACAGGGGAGGTGATTTCGCACAGTCAAAGTCCTGCAATAAGAGCTACGAAGCTAATATGTTTGTAAACTCTTCACAGTTGTGTTCTGTGGGTGTCACTGAATAGGCTGATACGTCATTTCATTGATCCACAATCCATAGGTAAGGCTGTACAGTGAAATATAAGTATGCCCCCAATGCAATTATGAAATCTAATCTATCCACAGTGCGATTTGAACTGATTTGTCATTTTTTTTGTCAAATAACGAATTATTGTCTTTTGTTGAATTCATATAACAACATTCCAAAGTTGTTAAGCATTATCTAGTCCAAATATGGCATGATTCCACTATTTGTATACGTTACAATGCAGAACCTTTATTTTGAAGGCAAACCGCAAATTCCACTATTGTCACTAATCTTTATTGTGGCTAGCTTCACATTGGTGGTTCTGGCGGTGTGGCCGCTGCTAATAAAGGACGCATCTCCAGATTACCTTATTTTCCGTGTGGAGGCATGCATCGAAAATGTGGGTCCGCTAGCTGCTACAAGGCACACATAAGTGAACAAATATATGTGCTAGCTATTCATATGATTAATAAAGTTGATAAAATTGCCAGCTATGTTGAAACTGCTGGGACACTTAGAAAATAACTGCTAGCTATATAACTGGTAACTATATACACATTTTAAAGACTAGCTGACTATTTGAACAGTTTTTGTTGAACTTTGTTCCCCGGCCGGTTTATTCATGAATTTGTGCCCTCCTAATTTGACTGTAAATAGACTGTTTTCATATCATTTTTCTGATTAGGGGGCGTGTGCACATTTACACGAGTGTTTCGTTAGCTAAGTTACTGACTGACTAAGCTAATTCTTATTCATGTTTTTGTTGCATTTCAGGTGGAGTGGCATTGCTGACAAATCAGGGCCCATATTAACAAAGAATCTCAGAGTAGGCTTACTGATTTTAGGATACGTTTTGCCTGCACACTGAGTACAATTACATTGACAAGGGGGAGGTTATCCTAGATCACTATCACTACTCTGAGACACTTTGTGAAATGGGCCCTAGAAGAAAGCGGTTGCCCAATACCTTGCACAGCAGTCATTTCACCACAGGTCCCTAGAGCAGGGTTAGGCAACCCTGTTCCTGGAGTGCTGCAGGTACCATACCAGGGGTGCGTTCACTTCGCTTGAACATTTGCTACGTTGCGGAATGCTTTGTACTGAATGCCACATTTTTCAACTGGTCGTTCAGTACGTTTTTATGTGCTGAACGCAGCCCTGACCAACTGAGCTAATTGATCAGTTCAGTGATTGATTAAATTCAACACACCTGGTCTTCCAAGTTGGTTAAGTGTCTGCGGCGCTCCAGGACCAGGGTTGCATACCCCTGCCCTAGATGTATTAGTCAATGCTTATGAACTGAATATTGTATGTGAATTTCCATATATCAATGACACTAACAAAAGGTTTGAATTGTTCAGAAACATGTGCAGTAAATGCTAACATGGCTTGGGTAATGAAAGATACATAATGTCATCTCCTTATCAGGCCTCTGCATACTGTGACATGGGCCTGGATGGTGACACATCTTCAAGCTGTCTGATTGTATGCTGTGGCCTTCAGTGGTACCGGAAGCGAGGGCCTTACCTGGGAGTACAGAAACTGTCATTCTGTCAACATGTATTGTATGTAAGCACTCAAATTCATACAAACTGCTACGGATGCAATCACTGACTTTGTCTACTTGCCCCATTCTTCAATCTTGTCTTGGATATATATTTTAGTTAACACACCTGTGTGATGTATCTGATATACATGAATAAATATGTATTCACCCTGGACATGAGACTTGCATTTACTCCTTTTGAATCATAAGCTCCAAGTGCTGTCTGTGTTTCAGTTACCACAGAAGTTAGTCAAAGTTGGTGTGAAGACCAACGTGATAAACATGCTATGAAAAAGTTTTGTAATCTAAGTAAAATGTGTTTATACAAAACTTTATTGCATTTGGTCATCCCCAAAATGTGGCCTTTGAAAGGCTTGATATTTGCATCCTTCCACAGGTTTGGCAGGTTTTTTGGGGTGATGTTCTATAGAGTTCCATAGCCCAGCAGACTCACCTGGGGATAGGGGGATGGACATGTTAGTTTTGATAAATGTCTGGGAGACTTTTACAGGGAGGAGAGAGCATGAGTTTTGGCGTGAGTACAGTAAATCCAATCCAACCAGTGGCCCTGGATAATATGCTATGTTGTCACACAGGCAGACTGCCATAGTGAAGGAGGTTTACATAGTGCATCTACTATCCTGAGTGTACTACTCTATCCACGTATTCTTCAGATATACTACATATTCTATCCACATACTGTCTATACATCCCATCACACACACACACACACACACATATATATACACACACACTCCGGACTCTGACATTGCTCGTCCTAATATTTCTATATTTCTTAATTCCATTCTTTTACTTTTAGATTTGTGTATATTGTTAGATATTACTGCACTGTTGGAGCTAGGAACACAAGCATTTTGCTACACCTGCAATAACATCTGCTAAATATGTGTATGCGACCAATAACTTAACATTTTAGTTGATACTATTATGAGTGTAGCTTACTTCTCTGTGCTCTGGAGAGATCACAGGTAGTTGGTCATAAGGCTCTGGAGGTCCTTGGACCATTCTGTCTCTGTAGCACCTGGAGAGAGACAGATAGAGGTAGTGAGTGCTAGAAAGAGAGAGAGCCCTCACCCCTGACCACTCCTCCCTATTATCATGCAATTGTTGAGAAAAACTTTTCCAAGGATCAGGCAGAGCTCATTATCCAGTTAAAAAGAGTTTATTCAAGCAATTGCAAGGGAGATTACACTCAGGATGAATCTGAGAGGAAAACTCAAAGTTAGAGTCACACACAATCATTATATACTTCTGCTTACACAAAGAGCTGCTTGCCTTTCCTCTCAGGGGATGCAAGGTTACATGAGAGATAAGGAGTATTTGGCTCCACTTAAAGCATTGTACACCAGTTCTCACAGCCTACATGCCCAAGATTTGGTAGTGATGAGTTCTTTAAAGCCTATTCAGCTGCAAGAAGATTTTAACATTGAGCTTGGCCTCTGGTGCCCGAAAAGATAAGGAGCCAGCAGCAAATCACTCCTTTGTGTGCTGTGAGAAGAGGAACACAAGACAGTAATGGAACATTACCCGTTTTATAGCACTATACAACTCAAGCATATTCATAGCATTTTAGACTGTAACAAAACCATTTTTGCACCCACAAGTCTCCCTTTTATGCTATGGTGTTCCATAAGCATAACCAACCTTTGTATACCTGATCTGCTGTCAGATATGGTTTTTAGACCCTTAATAATCACAGGGGAGTTGAACATTCTGAAATGATGAGTTACATAGAACTCAGGGTCATTTCTATGGCAATAAGCATTAACATCCTCTAAGGGGCAGTCTCCCTCCTCACTGAGAGGACACACCTCCGCCAGAGTGGAGACAAAGTTTTTCTTGAGTGATTAATACAAACTGTGGTAGAGGGACAGTTTTTAACACAGTGTTTATGCAAAATGACTTTAAAGCAAGTGAACAGAAAGAATACAAACATTAGAAAGCCTTTCATCACCAGTACAGTTTGCATAGTCATAATTCTTATATTTCCCATGCTCCCCCTTATCCACCCAAACAAATCCCATCCCCACTCTTCAGGCTGCTTTAGCTTTTTGATTTCTTGTTGGATGTGGGAGGTGTGTCAGTGATGTCATTAGCATTGTCTGGGATAAAAGTGCAGCACTCTGAGCCAATTACTGCACATGTGCCATCTTGAGATGCCAACAAATAATCTGAGGCAGCACGGTTTTGCCACACAACATTTCTCATAGCCACCATCTCAGTTTTCAATTTGTCTATAGCATTTGCAGTGTCATTTGCAGTCTGCTGTACAACCTGGGCCAAATTAATTACCTTTCATAAACATCCCCATCCTGTAGGGTGGGAACGCAATGGCAAAGAACATTTCGGTCTCTTTGCCACGGATCTGAGCCTACGGGACACAGGAGTTGGCAGAAAAGGCAAAACACGTGCTGAAGGGTGGACATTTACATGTAGCAGGAGCCACTCCACCCAAAAGGCAAATGGGGGTAGGCAGAGGTCCCACACACCCAATAGGTGTTATTCCATGTTCTAGCTCCTTTCAGCAAGTCGCAAATAGCAGTTATATCAGTCAAATTAGTGACCTGGTTGTTAGGTTTCTTTAGTACTGCCCAAATCTGCATTAGCATGTTCACATTTGATAGCGAAATTGCACTTACATGTTCCCACTTCAATAACTCCGAGGTTAGACACACACAGCCTAGTCGCCTAGCGACCACCAGCGGTTTTGGTGGGGTAGAGAGGTTGAATGAGGGCAGATAAAAACTACTATAGTCAATGTTTTCCAAATTCTTAGAGTGGAATTATTTACTTGTTATATTCATCTCGAAAATAATTGTAGCCTGGTGCCAGGCATTGTACACAGAATCAGATTGGTATCTACTATACCTAGAGCAATAATCAGTGGTTATAGATTGAGCATCAAATAGATTCGGGACCAGGGGTATACCATGTTTAAGTGAGGTTGGAACATGCTGACAGACCCAAGAGTTCATTGTATGGGCCACATGTGCAGTGAGGTTCAGAAACACGTTGTGTTGATGATGTTCTCGTATCTCTTGTCTCCGGTGGTTCTGGGCTTCTTCTGGGTCCCCCCTTTTGGGGACCATGTCCTCCTGGGGCGGAGAAGATAGGAAGAGTTACCAGTACTTACACCTGCTTCCGGCCCATTGTCTGCTAATGCCCAAAGGAGTCCCAGAGCCAGACCTGCTGAGTGTCCCAGGACGAACAGAGTACCGCTACTTGGCTGTAGGAGCAACATCTTCTTCCGGTTCGGCAACCTTCTTGCAGTGGGAGGCGTGGATCCACGTGTATCGTCCAAGGCAACTGCAGTCTGAGTGACCAGGACGATCTGGAACGGCCCTTTCCACCAGGGTTTCAGTGGTTCTTTCCCTTGATCGTGTCATCTCACCATTACTCTGTCTCCTGGCTGGAGCTCGTGGTGCAGTTTCTCGTCAGGCCTGTGCTGCGGAGACTTATGAGTGAACAGCTCGGATGCAGTCAGTTACGGCTACACAATACTTTATCATAGTATCATCTAGCAAATGCAGGTCTAGGATAGCACATGGAACGGATGCTGGCGTTCTCATAGGCCTTGCTATGAGAACCTTGTTTGGGCTAAGTCCAGTTTTTCTGCAACAGGCACTCAGCCACTGTATTTGCGTCCTCATTTGTGATAGGAAAAGCTTCAATCCATTTTGAGTAGCTATCCGCTATTACCAACATGCATTTCTTTCTCTTACAGGTGGGCATATGCACAAAATCAATTTGCATATTTACAAATGGGCCCCAGGGAACTGGCAGTCGAGACAAAGAAATGGGTTGAGTTGTTGGCAAATTAAACATTTTGCACAAACTTGTGCTGCGAAAGTAGTACATTTCGGTGCGTCCCATTCTTTTCTGCATGCACTGACCATTCCAACCTTTGGACACGACTCACGTCGTGATACATGCGTCCAAGATAACCCAACAGTGCCGGTGGCTAATCGTTCAAGGGTTGTACCTTCCTCAGTGGAACCCTCCCCATATGTAGCCAACACAGTATGACATTTCAAAAATTGGTTACAGTAATCAACCAGAAGCCACTAATACAAAGTAGCTTGTTATCGGCTAGAGTATACAAAAGTGCGTTCTCTCTCAATCTTGGAAGGAAACCCTCCCTAACCATGGATCTCAAGAGAGTCCTACAACAAATGTAATTAGTTTAAGAAACCACCTGCAGGATGACATTTCCAAGTGTGAAATCATATGACACCTCTCCACAAAATATGAATGAGTGCACAGGAATGTGTAGGAGTAGCTTTTCTGTACTGTTTCCCTACATTTCTCCCCTTGGCAGTGTAACTCAATATTTATTCGGAAGAAAACATTTCAACAAAACAAAAGAATCAGAATAACAAATACAATTAATATTACAAACCTTGATAAATTAATAAGGAAATTATTGTAACCCCATAAGGGGATTTAAGGAATAGACTAGAGACCGGTTTCTTTCACACCACTCATGCGCTTGTTGTGTGTGAGTAGCTTACCCAACCCTCCCTTTGTGCTTTCTTAACAGTTCAGGGGCAGTGCTCTGTCTCTCTCCTTGTCACCCATCCAAATCCAAATTAGAACTATTGATACATTATAAAAAGGGTAAAAAACAAAACAAAATCAGGAAGCAAATACAAAAAAAACTAAACATACAACAACAACAACAACAACAACACGCTTCTACATAATTATCAGTGTTTACATATTATGTTTAAATTTCAACCAATGTCTCTGATCTTTCTAGTGAGGGCGATCAGACCTCACCAAGTCAGAACAGAGGTCATTCAACACCATTAAGTGAGTGTTCTTTCCCCTTTCTTTCCCGGTTTTAAAGTGTTTAAAACATTCTCCGTACCAGGTTTGCGTTATTCTTCAGTAAATTTTTCATCAGGAGAACTTACATGTGTACAACCAAAATTCGGAACATTTGTGTGCCCTTTAAGGTGCATCCTTTCTCACCCATGAAGAACCTACTAAAACCTAATAAAAAGACAACAACAAAAAAACACACCCAATGAATCAGAGATTGTATTAACACTACTAACAAACGGGTGGGTTGTGTGTGTATCCTGGTGTGTGTGGCTTAATTGTGAGCTCCCTTAACAGCCAGATCCGGGTACCTTTATACTTTATAGAACTGCAGAATTTCACTAACTGCTCTCCCAAGGCACCAGCCTCAGGAAGCATTTCAAAGGGAGAGAAACATAATAATTGTTGAACTCATCAGAATACTTGATAGGGGACAACCCATCATCTACTGGAAGAGAAAATAAACATTTTGTAAGTTTCCACTATGCTAAATCTTAAAATCAGTCCCAACTTTCCATTTAACATTACTTTACCAGGTGAACAAAAAGGTTTTCATTACAGACAAAACTAAACCTGATAACTTATGTTTACCAGGAGGCCACTGTTCCCTCTTCACTGTCTCCTTATTGGAATCAAATCAAATTTTATTGGACACATACACATATTTAGCAGATGTTATTGTGGGTGTAGCGAAATGCTTGTGTTCCTAGCTCCAACAGTGCAGTAGTATCTAACAATTCACAACAATACACACAAATCTAAAAGTAAAAGAATGGAATTAAGAAATATACACAATGCCTTCGGAAAGTATTTAGATCCCTTGACTTTTTCCACATTTTGTTACGTTACAGCCTTATTCCAAAATTGATTCAATAGTTTTTTTTCCCCTCATCAATCTACACACAATACCCCATAATGACTAAGTAAAAACAGGTTTTAAGAAATGTTTGCAAATGTATTGAAAATAAAAAACTGAAATATAATATTTACATAAGTATTCAGACCCTTTACTCAGTACTTTGTTGAAGCACCTTTGGCAGCGATTACAGCATCGAGTCTTCTTGGGTATGATGGTACAAGCTTGGCACACCTGTATTTGGGGAGTTTCTCCCATTCTTCTCTGTAGATCCTCTCAAGTTGTGTCAGGTTGGATAGGGAGCATTGCTGCACAGCTATTTTCAGGTCTCTCCAGAGATGTTCGATCGGGTTCAAGTCCGGGCTCTGGCTGGGCCACTCAAGGACATTCAGAGACTTGTCCCGAAGCCGCTCCTGCGTTGTCTTGGCTGTGTGCTTAGGGTCGTTGTCCTGTTGGAAGGTGAACCTTCGCCCCAGTCTGAGCTCCTGAGCGCTCTGGAGCAGGTTTTCATCAAGGATCTCTCTGTACTTTGCTCTGTTCATCTTTGCCTCGATCCTGACTAGTCTCCCAGTCCCTGCCGCTGAAATACATTCCCACCACCATGCTTCACCATAGGGATGGTGCCAGGTTTCCTCCAGATGTGACGCTTGGCATTCAGGCCAAAGAGTTCAATCTTGGTTTCATTAGACCAGAGAATCTTATATCTCATGGTCTGAGAGTCTTTAGGTGCCTTTTAGCAAATTCCAAGTGGGCTTTCATGTGCCTTTTACTGAGGAGTTGCTTCTATCTGGCCACTCTACAATAAAGGCCTGATTGGTGGAGTGCTGCAGAGATGGTTGTCCTTCTGGAATGTTCTCCCATCTCCACATCGGCAGGACAGAACGGCTGACTCTGGTAAGACAAGGGGTGGCGGTCTGTGTATATTTGTAAACAACAGCTGGTGCACAAAATCAAATACTAAGGAAGTCTCGAGGTTTTGCTCGCCTGAGGTAGAGTATCTTATGATAAGCTGTAGACCACACTATTTACCAAGAGAGTTTTCATCTATATTTTTCATAGCTGTCTATTTACCACCACAAACCAATGCTGGCATTAAGATTGCACTGAATGAGTTGTACAAGGCCATTAATCAACAGGAAAACGCTCATCCAGATGCAGCGCTCCTAGTGGCCGGGGACTTTAATGCAGGGAAACTTAAATCCGTTCTACCTAATTTCTACCAGCATGTTAAATGTGCAACCAGAGGGAAAAAAACTCTAGACCACCTTTACTCCACACACAGAGACACATACAAAGCTCTCCCTCGCCCTCCATTTGGCAAATCTGACCATAACTCTATCCTCCTGATTCCTGCTTATAAGCAAAAACTGAAGCAGGAAGCACCAGTGATTCGGTTAATAAAAAAGTGGTCAGATGACGCAGATGCTAAGCTACAGGACTGTTTTGCTAGCACAGACTGGAACATGTTCCGGGATTCTTCAGACAGCATTGAGGAGTACACCACATCAGTCACTGGCTTCATCAATAAGTGCATCGATGATGTCGTCCCCACAGTGACCGTACGTACATACCCCAACCAGAAGCCATGGATTACAGGAAACATCCGCACTGAGCTAAAGGGTAGAGCTGCCGCTTTCAAGGAACGGGACTCTAACCCGGACGCTTATAAGAAATCGCGCTATGACCTCCGACGAACCATCAAATAGGCAAAGAGTCAATACAGGTCTAAGATTGAATCATACTACACTGGCTCTGACGCTCGTCGGATGTGGCAGGGCTTGAAAACTATTACAGACTACAAAGGGAAGCACAGCCGCGAGCTGCCCAGTGACACAAGCCTACCAGACGAGCTAAACCACTTCTATGCTCGCTTCGAGGCAAGCAACACTGAAGCATGCATGAGAGCACCAGCTGTTCCGGATGACTATGTGATCACGCTCTCCGTAGCCGATGTGAGTAAGACTTTTAAGCAGGTCAACATTCACAAGGCCGCAGGGCCAGACGGATTACCAGGACGTGTACTCCGAGCATGTGCTGACCAACTGGCAAGTGTCTTCACTGACATTTTCAACATGTCCCTGACTGAGTCTGTAATACCAACATGTTTCAAGCAGACCACCATAGTCCCCGTGCCCAAGAACTCTAAGATAACCTGCCTAAATGACTACCGACCCGTAGCACTGACGTCTGTAGCCATGAAGTGCTTTGAAAGACTGGTCATGGCTCACATCAACAGCATAATCCCAGAAACCCTAGACCCACTCCAATTTGCATACCGCCCCAACAGATCCACAGATGATGCAATCTCTATCGCACTCCACACTGCCCTTTCCCACCTGGACAAGAGGAACACCTACGTGAGAATGCTATTCATTGACTACAGCTCAGCATTCAACACCATAGTGCCCTCTAAGCTCATCACTAAGCTAAGGATCCTGGGACTAAACACCTCCCTCTGCAACTGGATCCTGGACTTCCTGACGGGCCACCCCCAGGTGGAAAGGGTAGGTAACAACACATCTGCCACACTGATCCTCAACACGGGGGCCCCTCAGGGGTGCGTGCTCAGTCCCCTCCTGTACTCTCTGTTCACCCATGACTGCATGGCCAGGCACGACTCCAACACCATCATTAAGTTTGCCGACGACACAACAGTGGTAGGCCTTATCACCGACAACGATGAGACAGCCTATAGGGAGGAGGTCAGAGATCTGGCCGTGTGGTGCCAGGACAACAACCTCTCCCTCAACGTGACCAAGACAAATGAGATGATTGTGGACTACAGGAAAAAAAAGAGGACTGAGCACGCCCCCATTCTCATCGACGGGGCTGTAGTGGAACAGGTTGAGAGCTTCAAGTTACTTGGTGTCCACATCACCAACGAACTATCATGGTCCAAACACACCAAGACAGTCGTGAAGAGGGCACGACAAAGCCTATTCCCCCTCAGGAGACTAAAAAGATTTGGCATGGGTCCTCAGATCCTCAAAAAATTCTACAGCTGCACCATCGAGAGCATCCTGACTGGTTGCATCACCGCCTGGTATGGCAACTGCTTGGCCTCCGACCGCAAGGCACTACAGAGGGTAGTGCGTACGGCCCAGTACATCACTGGGGCAAAGCTTCCTGCCATCCAGGACCTCTATACCAGGCGGTGTCAGAGGAAGGCCCTCAAAATTGTCAAAGACTCCAGCCACCCTAGTCATAGACTGTTCTCTCTGCTACCGCACGGCAAGCGGTACCGGAGTGCCAAGTCTAGGTCCAAAAGACTTCTCAACAGCTTCTACCCCCAAGCCATAAGACTCCTGAACAGCTAATCATGGCTACCCGGACTATTTGCACTGCCCCCCCACCCCATCTTTTTTACGCTGCTGCTACTCTGTTAAGTATTTATGCATAGTCACTTTAACTCTACCCACATGTACATATTACCTCAACTACCTCAACTAGCCGGTGCCCCCGCACATTGACTCTGCAACGGTACCCCCCTGTATATATAGCCTCCCTACTGTCACTTTATTTTACTTCTGCTCTTTTTTTCTCAACACTTTTTTTGTTGTTGTTTTATTCTTACTTTTTTTGTTTAAAATAAATGCACTGTTGGTTAAGGGCTGTAAGTAAGCATTTCACTGTAATGTCTGCACCTGTTGTATTCGGCGCATGTGACCAATAAAATTTGATTTGATTTGATTTGATTTGATTTGGTTTGGTTTTTACTCTGACTTGCACTGTCAACTGTGGGACGTTATATAGACAGGTGTGTTCCTTTCCAAATCATGTCCAATCAATTGAATTTACCACAGGTGGACTCCAATCAAGTTGTAGAAGCATCTCAAGGATGATCAATGGAAACAGGATGCACCTGAGCTCAATTTCGAGTCTCAAGGCAAAGGTTCTGAATACTTATGTAAATAAGGTATTTAAGTTTGCATGTTTTTTTTTTTTTTTTTTTTTTTTCTTAAAACCTGTTTTCACTTCGACATTATAGGGTATTGTGTGTAGATTGTTGAGGATTATTTAAAAACAAATCCATTTTAGAATAAAACTGTAACTTAACAAAATGTGAAAACAGTCAAGGGGTCTGAATACTTTCCGAAGGCACTGTAAATATTATTTAACTAGGCAAGTCAGGCCTTGAGATAGAAGCTGTTTTTCAGTCTCTCAGTCCCAGCTTTGATGCACCTGTACTGACCTCAACTTCTGGATGATAGCTGGGTGAACAGGCCGTTTCTCAGGTGGTTGATGTTCTTGATGACCTTTTTGGCCTTCCTGTGACATTGGGTGCTGTAGGTGTCCTGGAGGGCAGGCAGTGTGTCCCCCGTGATGCGTTGGGCAGAGCATACCACCCTCTGGAGAGCCCTGCGGTTGCGGGCGGTGCAGTTGCCGTACCAGGTGGTGATACAGCCCGACAGGACACTCTCAATTGTGCATCTGTAAAAGTTTGTAAGGGTCTTAGGGGCCAAGACAAATTAATTCAGCCTCCTGAGGTTGAAGAGGCATGTGGTGGACCATTTCAGATTGTCAGTGATGTGTACGCCGAAGCTTTTCACCTTCTCCAATGCGGTTCCGTAGATGTGGATAGGGGCGTGCTCCCTCTGCTGTCTCCTGAAGTCCACGATCAGCTCCTTCGTTTTGTTGACGTTGAGGAAGAGGTTATTTTCCTGGCACCACTCCGCCAGGGCCCTCACATCCTCCCAGTAGGGCTGTCTCGTCATTGTTGGTAATCAGGCCTACTACTGTTCTGTCGTCTGCAAACTTGATGATTGAGTTGGAGGCATGTGGCCACGCAGTCATGGGTGAACAGGGAGTACAGGAGGGGGCCCGTCTTCTCCTGGATCAGGAACTCGTCTGCAGTGCGACACGTGGATCCAGGTATCTCTCTCAGCAACCTTCACCGCAGTTGGGGTGGTCAGAAGAACTTGGTACAGTTAGTTCATCCAGCGTCAGCAGCTCATCAGTCTCACCATCCTCTTAAGGAGTATTAAACATGATGGCTGCTGAGACCTTATCAGCCAGGGAGGTACATATAGCCTTACAGCATGTTAGTAATACAATTAGGCAGACTAAGCAAAAAACACACACTGCAGCCCATTGGCTGTGGGGAATTGTTCTTAGCCACAGTGGCAATGTATTCGGCAAGATCAGTAACATTACAGTACCGATCTGGGAGAAAAGTGCAACACTCATCTCCAATTATTGCACTAGTGCCCCCTTGACCTGCCAAAAGATAGTCAAGAGCCTCTTTATTTTGCAGAGCCAACTTAGGCAATTATTTTAGTTCCCCATTCAATTGTTTAGAGATATCACGTATCTAGGGCACATGCAACTCCATACCCAGGGAAAAACACACCAAAGAACCTGGAGGCAGGTGCCTGAGTGTGAGTGATGTCAGCCAGAGACCTCAAACTCTAAACAGAGCCTTCAGATTCTTGTCATTGTTTGGAACGGTTCTCATAGCTGTCACCACAAACTCAACAGTACAAGTACCTCTCCAGTTCAGGGGAAGGCTATAGCAAGCCATCTTGCCACACAACCAATAGGTGCCATTTGGGGCTCCTCCCAAAGGGATAATAACATTATAGACTGAAATACCATAAGTAACATTACCAGGTTCCCCAGTGTCGTGCATTGTTAACGGTTAACTTACAGGTATTGGATCCGTTGTAACACTTGTACAATTACATTCTAGTTCACCCAAATGATTATCTCATTCTCCTCTAATACACCAAGGGGCTGTCATCACTCCAGCTACTGAAATAGGTGGGAGTAAAGTATTATCTGGCCTAGCAAAAGACGGTGGACCTGTGTGGTTGTATAATGCAAAAAATGTCATGCGGTCAGGGTTACGTGGTATCTCTACTACATTTTTTACATCTTATCCAGAGCGACTTACAGTTTAGTGAGTGCATACATTTTTCATACTGGCCCCCCCGTGGGAATCAAACCCACAACCCTGGCGTTGCAAGCGCCACGCTCTAACCAATTGAGCTACAGGAGGCCTACGAATGTTTCAGCCATTTGCATTGTCTTGATCTACCCCTATTGGAACTCCCACAAGTGTTAAAGCTGCTCCTACCTTAACTGGCCCCAACCCACACACCCAACACTCATTTTGTCCAGACGTTAGCAAACATTTCTGCTCTAGAGAGGAACAGATTGTCCTCATGGTTATGTGGGCCCAGCAGGCCTCTCCTTCTCCGATGACCATCTTCTTCTGGGACACTACTCCAGGCCTGTGTTGGTCCCTTTAGCTCAGGACTCATCTCACCCTCTGTCAGGTTTCCTACACGAGGACAACCTACTGTTCTTATTAGCACTCCTGTGCTAATGCAGAGGAGGACCACACTGCACCACCGTAACTGGTGAGGCCAATCTTCTCCTGGATCAGGAACTCGTCTGCAGTGCGACACGTGGATCCAGGTATCTCTCTCAGCAACCTTCACCGCAGCTGGGGTGGTCAGAAGAACTTGGTACGGCCCTCTCCAACGGGGGTCCTTCCAACTCTTTCTCTTTGAAGTCTTTGACCACCACAAAATCACCTGGGGCTCAAACAGTGCCCAGCTCCACCTGCTAGGTTCGGCAAAGACGCCTTCACCAGGGGAAAGAGAGTCTTAAGAACCACTGTTAAGGGTGACATAATACTCAACCATGTCTTCCTCCATTCCTGCAAGGACAACCTGTTTTGGGGAAAAGGTGTATTAGTCATCCTCATGGGACTGCCAGTCAGCACCTCGTGTGGAGAGAACCCGTGACTGTGTGGGACCTGCCTCTCTTACTCATCATGCCAATGGAAGCACCTTTACCCATGTCAGGCTTGTTTCACCAATTTAGTTCGCCTTTCTACTGCAACCCCCGATTCAGGGATGATAGGCACAATGGGTTTCTCAAATAAATCTGCAAAGCCTCTGACAGGGGACTGAACAATCTCATTCACAAAATGTCAACCATTGTCATAATAGATTTTTGATGGCAGACCCCATCTGGGTATGATCCTCTCTCACGGTGCTTTCGCTAAAAGCACGGGTGTGGCTCTCCGGCAAAGGGGAAAACTTTAAACCCATTTAAAACACTCAACGTCACCAAACAAATCCTTTTTTCCCCCCCCCCAAGGGGTTTAAATCAATTAATCCTTTATTAATTCTCAAAACAAATTAAAGAAAGAGTAAATATTGATTAAACTGTTTTAAGGGCTTTGGTTGGGGTTTTTAAGTGTTAAAAAGCATTTTGAAACCCAACCTTTGGCATCCGGGACCCGCTTGCCCCTCGGTAGCAGAGAGAAAATTCCCCTTTTTTAGGGGGGCCTGGATTTTTTGACAATTTTTTTTAAGGGGCCCTTTCCCCTGACACCCCCTGGGATGAGGTCCTGGTGGCAGGGAAACCTTTTTCCCCCAGTTTATTTTACTGGGCCCTACCCCTAACCCCCTGAGTGTCCCTTTTTTGGGCGGGAAACCACATTGCCATACCAGGGCCCCGTGATGCCAAAAAAGTCAGGATGCACTCATTTTTTTCAGCTTAGAAAATTTTTGAAATCTGAGGACCCTCCAAAACTTTTCAGTTTTCCCGAGGGGGTAGGCCTTTTTCGTGCCCCTTCATGCCCTTTTTGGTTTTGTTTGGATCAAAGAAATTTTTTGGTGATTGGCCCCAAGGAACTTGAAGCTCTCAATCCCGGGGCCCCTAAAAGCCCCGTAATGAGAATGGGGGCGTGCTCGGTCCCCCTTCTTTTTTTCCCGTAGTCCCCAAAACATTTCCTTTCTTGATCACTTTTAAGGGGGGTTTTTTATCCGGGGACCACATTGGGCCCAATCCCCTTTACCTTTCCCCCAAAGGGTGTCCCCCTGTTGTCCCCTTTACAGGGAAAACCACGGGTTTTTTTTGGTAAACTTTATGAAGGTGTTGGAGTGTGCCTGGGCCCTGGCATCATGGGGGCCCGGGATTCCCGCAGGGGGGCGACACCCCCCCGGGGGGGCCCTCGGGTTTTAGGATCCCCGTGGTAAATTTTTTTTTCCCAACCCCCCACCACCTGGGGCGGGGCCCCCGGGAATCTAGGTCCCTTTTTTAAAGGGGGGTTTTTTGGCCCCGGGTCCCTTTGCTTATCCCTGACTTTGAGGGAAACCCTGGGGTTTAAACCCGCTTTAGTCAATGAATAGGGTTCTCACGTAGGGGTTCCTCCTGTTTTCCTTTGGGGGGGGCATTTTGGTGGGAATAAGATTGCAAACATCTGTGGATCTGTTTGGGGGGGTATGCAAATTGGGGGGGGGACAGGGTTTTTTGGGTAAGGGGGTTTTAATGTGAGCCTGGGCCAGCCTTCCAAAAACACTTCATTGGGTACAGACGTGAAGCTACGGGGCGGGTTTGCGTACATCTGATAAGTTGTAGGGTCTTAGGCAAGACAAATAATTCAGCCTCCTGAGGTTGAAGAGGCATGTGGTGGACCATTCAGATTGTCAGTGATGTGTACGCCGAAGCTTTTCACCTTCTCCAATGCGGTTCCGTAGATGTGGATAGGGGCGTGCTCCCTCTGCTGTCTCCTGAAGTCCACGATCAGCTCCTTCGTTTTGTTGACGTTGAGGAAGAGGTTATTTTCCTGGCACCACTCCGCCAGGGCCCTCACATCCTCCCAGTAGGGCTGTCTCGTCATTGTTGGTAATCAGGCCTACTACTGTTCTGTCGTCTGCAAACTTGATGATTGAGTTGGAGGCATGTGGCCACGCAGTCATGGGTGAACAGGGAGTACAGGAGGGGGCCCGTCTTCTCCTGGATCAGGAACTCGTCTGCAGTGCGACACGTGGATCCAGGTATCTCTCTCAGCAACCTTCACCGCAGTTGGGGTGGTCAGAAGAACTTGGTACAGTTAGTTCATCCAGCGTCAGCAGCTCATCAGTCTCACCATCCTCTTAAGGAGTATTAAACATGATGGCTGCTGAGACCTTATCAGCCAGGGAGGTACATATAGCCTTACAGCATGTTAGTAATACAATTAGGCAGACTAAGCAAAAAACACACACTGCAGCCCATTGGCTGTGGGGAATTGTTCTTAGCCACAGTGGCAATGTATTCGGCAAGATCAGTAACATTACAGTACCGATCTGGGAGAAAAGTGCAACACTCATCTCCAATTATTGCACTAGTGCCCCCTTGACCTGCCAAAAGATAGTCAAGAGCCTCTTTATTTTGCAGAGCCAACTTAGGCAATTATTTTAGTTCCCCATTCAATTGTTTAGAGATATCACGTATCTAGGGCACATGCAACTCCATACCCAGGGAAAAAACACACCAAAGAACCTGGAGGCAGGTGCCTGAGTGTGAGTGATGTCAGCCAGAGACCTCAAACTCTAAACAGAGCCTTCAGATTCTTGTCATTGTTTGGAACGGTTCTCATAGCTGTCACCACAAACTCAACAGTACAAGTACCTCTCCAGTTCAGGGGAAGGCTATAGCAAGCCATCTTGCCACACAACCAATAGGTGCCATTTGGGGCTCCTCCCAAAGGGATAATAACATTATAGACTGAAATACCATAAGTAACATTACCAGGTTCCCCAGTGTCGTGCATTGTTAACGGTTAACTTACAGGTATTGGATCCGTTGTAACACATTGTACAATTACATTCTAGTTCACCCAAATGATTATCTCATTCTCCTCTAATACACCAAGGGGCTGTCATCACTCCAGCTACTGAAATAGGTGGGAGTAAAGTATTATCTGGCCTAGCAAAAGACGGTGGACCTGTGTGGTTGTATAATGCAAAAAATGTCATGCGGTCAGGGTTACGTGGTATCTCTACTACATTTTTTACATCTTATCCAGAGCGACTTACAGTTTAGTGAGTGCATACATTTTTCATACTGGCCCCCCGTGGGAATCAAACCCACAACCCTGGCGTTGCAAGCGCCACGCTCTACCAATTGAGCTACAGGAGGCCTACGAATGTTTCAGCCATTTGCATTGTCTTGATCTACCCCTATTGGAACTCCCACAAGTGTTAAAGCTGCTCCTACCTTAACTGGCCCCAACCCACACACCCAACACTCATTTTGTCCAGACGTTAGCAAACATTTCTGCTCTAGAGAGGAACAGATTGTCCTCATGGTTATGTGGGCCCAGCAGGCCTCTCCTTCTCCGATGACCATCTTCTTCTGGGACACTACTCCAGGCCTGTGTTGGTCCCTTTAGCTCAGGACTCATCTCACCCTCTGTCAGGTTTCCTACACGAGGACAACCTACTGTTCTTATTAGCACTCCTGTGCTAATGCAGAGGAGGACCACACTGCACCACCGTAACTGGTGAGGCCAATCTTCTCCTGGATCAGGAACTCGTCTGCAGTGCGACACGTGGATCCAGGTATCTCTCTCAGCAACCTTCACCGCAGCTGGGGTGGTCAGAAGAACTTGGTACGGCCCTCTCCAACGGGGGTCCTTCCAACTCTTTCTCTTGAAGTCTTTGACCACCACAAAATCACCTGGGCTCAAACAGTGCCCAGCTCCACCTGCTAGGTTCGGCAAAGACGCCTTCACCAGGGGAAAGAGAGTCTTAAGAACACTGTTAAGGGTGACATAATACTCAACCATGTCTTCCTCCATTCCTTGCAAGGACAACCTGTTTTGGGGAAAAGGTGTATTAGTCATCCTCATGGGACTGCCAGTCAGCACCTCGTGTGGAGAGAGACCCGTGACTGTGTGGGACCTGCCTCTCTTACTCATCAGTGCCAATGGAAGCACCTTTACCCATGTCAGGCTTGTTTCACCAATTAGTTCGCCTTTCTACTGCACCCCCAGATTCAGGATGATAGGCACAATGGGTTCTCAAATAAATCTGCAAAGCCTCTGACAGGGACTGAACAATCTCATTCACAAAATGTCAACCATTGTCAGAAGAGATTTTTGATGGCAGACCCCATCTGGGTATGATCTCTCTCACGAGTGCTTTCGCTACAGCAGCTGCTGTGGCTCTCCGGCAAGGGAAAGCTTCAACCCATTTAGAAAACACGTCAACGATCACCAAACAATACTTGTTCCCCTCACAAGGGGTCAACTCAATTAAGTCCATCATTAAGTGCTCAAAACAAATAATGAAAGAGTAACTATTTGATTAGCTGTTCAGGAGTCTTATGGCTTGGGGGTATAAGCTGTTAAAAAGCATTTTGAACCTAGACTTGGCACTCCGGTACCGCTTGCCGTGCGGTAGCAGAGAGAACAGTCTATGACTAGGGTGCCTGGAGTCTTTGACAATTTTTAGGGCCTTCCTCTGACACCACCTGGTATAGAGGTCCTGGATGGCAGGAAGCTCGGCCCTAGTGATGTACTGGGCCGTACGCACTACCCTCTGTAGTGTCTTGTGGTCGGAAGCCGAGCAGTTGCCATACCAGGCAGTGATGCAACCAGTCAGGATGCACTCAGTGGTGCAGCTGTAGAACTTTTTGAAGATCTGAGGACCCATGCCAAATCTTTTCAGTCTCCTGAGGGGGAATAGGCTTTGTCGTGCCCTCTTCATGACTGTCTTGGTGTGTTTGGATCATGATAATTTGTTGGTGATGTGGACACCAAGGAACTTGAAGCTCTCAATCTGCTCCACTACAGCCCCGTCAATGAGAATGGGGGCGTGCTCGGTCCTCTTCTTTTTCCTGTAGTCCAAAATCATTTCCTTTGTCTTGATCACGTTGAGGGAGAGGTTGTTATCCTGGCACCACATGGCCAAATCTCTGACCTCCACCCTATAGGCTGTCTCATCGTTGTCGGTGATCAGGAATACCACTGTTGTGTTGTCGGTAAACTTTATGAAGGTGTTGGAGTCGTGCCTGGCCATGCAGTCATGGGTGAACAGGGAGTACAGCAGGGGACTGAGCACGCACCCCTGAGGGGCCCTCGGGTTGAGGATCAGCGTGGTAGATGTGTTGTTACCTACCCTTACCACCTGGGGGCGGCCCGTCAGGAAGTCTAGGATCCAGTTGCAGAGGGAGGTGTTTAGGCCCAGGGTCCTTAGCTTAGTCATGAGCTTTGAGGGCACCATGGTGTTGAACGCTGCTGTAGTCAATGAATAGCATTCTCACGTAGGTGTTCCTCCTGTCCAGGTGGGAAAGGGCAGTGTGGAGTGCAATAGAGATTGCATCATCTGTGGATCTGTTGGGGCGGTATGCAAATTGGAGTGGATCTAGGGTTTCTGGGATAATGGTGTTGATGTGAGCCATGACCAGCCTTTCAAAGCACTTCATGGCTACAGACGTGAAGCTACGGGTCGGTAGTTATTTAGGCAGATTAGTGTTCTTGTCACAGGGACTATGGTGGTCTGCTTGAAACATGTTGGTATTACAGACTCAGTCAGGGACAGGTTGAAAATGTCAGTGAAGAAACTTGCCAGTTGGTCAGCGCATGCTCGGAGTACACGTCCTGGTAATCCGTCTGGCCCTGCGGCCTTGTGAATGTTGACTTGTTTAAAAGGTCTTACTCACATCGGCTATGGAGAACATGATCACACAGTCATCCGGAACAGCTGATGCTCTCATGCATGCTTCAGTGTTGCTTGCCTCAAAGCGAGCATTGAAGTAATTTAGCTTGTCTGGTAGGCTCGTGTCACTGAGCAGCTCGTGGCTGTGCTTCCCTTTGTAGTCTGTAATAGTTTGTAAGCCCTGCCACATCCGACGAGCGTTGGAGACGGTGTAGTACGAGTCAATCTTAGTCCTGTATTGATGCTTTGCCTTTTAGATGGTTTGTTGGAGGGCATAACGGGATTTCTTATAAGCGTCCGGGTTAGAGTCCCGCTCCTTGAAAGTGGCAGCTCTACCCTTTAACTCAGTGCGGATGTTGCCTGTAATCCATGGCTTCTGGTTGGGGTATGTACGTACAGTCACTGTGGGGACGACGTCATCAATGCACTTATTGATGAAGACAGTGACTGATGTGGTGTACTCCTCAATGCCATCTGAAGAATCCCGGAACATATTGTAGGTCCCCTGTAGCTCAGTTGGTAGAGCATGGCGCTTGCAACGCCAGGGTTGTGGGATGGTTTCCCACGGGGGGCCAGTATGAAAATGTATGCACTCACTAACTGTAAGTCGCTCTGGATAAGAGCCTCTGCTAAATGACTAAAATGTAAATATTCCAGTATGTGCTAGCAAAACAGTCATGTAGCTTAGCATCTGCTTCATCTGACCACTTTTTTATTGACCGAGTCACTGGTGCTTCCTGCTTTAGTTTTTTTTGTAAGCAGGAATCAGGAGGATAGAGTTATGATTAGATTTGCCAAATGGAGGGCGAGGGAGGGCAAGGGAGAGCTTTGTACGCGTCTCTTGTTTTTTTCTCCCTCTGGTTGCACATTTAACATGCTGGTAGAAATTAGGTAAAATGGATTTAAGTTTCCCTGCATTAAAGTCCCCGGCTACTAGGAGCGACGCCTCTGGATGAGCATTTTCCTGTTTACTTATGGCCTTATACAGCTCATTGAGTGTGGTCTTAGTGCCAACATCTGTTTGTGGTGGTAAACAGACAGCTACGAAAAATATAGATGACAACTCTCTTGGTAAATAGCGTGGTCTACAGCTTATCACGAGATACTCTACCTCAGGCGAGCAAAACCTCGAGACTTCCGTAATATTAGATTTCGTGCACCAGCTGTTGTTTACAAATATACACAGACTGCCACCCCTTGTCTTACCGGAGGCAGCTGTTCTATCTTGCCGATGCAGCATATATCCCGCCAGCTCTATGTTATCCATGTCGTCGTTCAGCCACGACTCGGTGAAACATAAGATATTACAGTTTTTAATGTCCCGTTGGTAGGATATCCATGATCTTAGTTCAGGCCTTGGATGGGAAGCAGGGGATACTGCCGCGTCCAACATTGTTAGTCATGCAAATCAAACATTTCTTGCAGAACTTTTCTGCAAACACAGTAAAACCTACTGTACACTAATATTTATTTACAAGATCCACCATCCCTCCTTTTGACACATGGTCTTGACCATGTGACAATTTGACAAGGAATTGGAAAGTACAAAGGGGCATGGCTGGTCTGCTCCACTCATCCAGCCATACACCCGAGAAGTCCTTATGACAGCAGCCATCCCACTTGCGTTTCTCTGATTCATCAGTCGTTGCCTGCAGAGCAACAATGTCATTAACAGAGAAAGTGTTAGTGGAAGCAGGAACTGTTGCAATCTGTAAGAGGGGGGAAACAGAAGATGACGCAGCTAATTCAGCTGCGCAGTCAGCCTTAGCGTTCCCCAGAGAAATGTTATCTGCAGAGGAAGTATGTGCCTGACACTTGATTACAGAAATAGAGGAGGGCATTTGGACAGCCTGTAACAGAGACAAATCAAGATTACTGTGTGCAATTTGTTTTCCAGACGAGGTTAAAAACCCTCTATTCTTCCACAATGTTCCAAAATCACAGACTATACCAAACGCATATCTACTATCAGTGTAAATGTTAACAGAGCTGTCCTTTCCCAAAATACAAACTCTGGTCAAGCCAAATAGTTCTGCCAACTGTGCAGGTAAGTGTGAGGGGAGTCTAGCACACTCCGCTGTTTGCAAAACAGTCACAACAGGATATCCAACTAATGGATTCCCTTTTTCATTTTTCTGAGCAGACCCATCTACAAAAAACTCAAAGTCTGGATTGTCTAACGGGGTGTCTCTCACGTCCAACCTAGGGCTACAGCCAACTTTAATAGCTAAGTCACAGTCATGGTCTTCACGGGCATCTGCTGTAGGGAGAAGAGTTGACGGGTTAAGAATTGTACATCGTTTCAGACTAACATTGGACATTGTCAACAGAATGTTCTGATAGTCTAGCAGTCTTGCAGGCGTCAAATGAGCCATTCTTGCCTGTGTAATAATTGCGTGCACAGCATGGGGCACATGTACAGTTAGAGGAGACATTGCCACAATATCAGAACATGCCAAAACAACCACAGTAGCAGCCGCTACCGATCTCAAACAGGAAACCATTCCCCTGATCACAGTATCCAGTCTTTTAGAATAATAACCAACAGGTCTGTATCCCACCCCATTATACTGTGTCAAAAACTGCTGACATAAACCCACCCGTCTCCGAAACAAAGAGATGGAAGGGTTTAGTATGGTCTGGAAAACCCAAGCAAGGGGTAGACATTGTTTGTTTCAATATTACCAATGCCACCTCAGCTTCATCAGTCCAGACCACAACTTCACTCGCCTCCATCTTTCTCCCATTAATACAATCCTGCAG